CCCTCTGCCCCGCGCGCGCCGCAGCGTGATCACCGGCCGGCAGGAGGCCCGCGGAGGTCCGCGCGGGGTCCGGGTCCTCGAGGCTGCACTGGCCGTGCCCAGGCGCCCGCCGCACTGTGCGGCGCACGGGGACCCACAGGCATCCGCCTCGGGTGACAGTCCGGAGAACCGGATGTGCCTCCCGGGCGGCGCCACGCGAACCCTGCGCTCCTCCGGGGCGCGCGCGGCCCAGCCACCGGCCGGCAGGGGCGGGGACAGGCCATCTCGGCCACGGAGGCCGCGCACGGGCGCTGGCCACCCCGCGGGCACGCCCTCCCTGCCAGCAAAGGCCAGGCACTGCAGCAGACTGACCCTCACCCTTGCAACCCCCTTGGTCTAGCTGCCTCCTGACACCTGCCCCTGCAATGAGCATTTTCCAGTAAGAAGCCGAATGCAGCCACCCTCGTTGGCCAATGACAGGGCACAGGCTGTTCTGTGGGCAGTCTCTGTGGACCTACAGCCTCGGTCACCTACCTGTACAGCGTGTGCCAGCAGGAGAAACGGGCGCTTTAAGCACCGCTCAGGCTCCCTCCTGGGAATGCAATGGCCATGTGGCCTGTAGGAAGGTGCCCGGGTGGTGCGGGGGGTTAAGCCCTTGGCCGACCACCCGAAATGGTCAGAATGCTCTGCCTGAAGACAGGGCAGTGAGCGTCCCTAAACGTCACAGTCTTGTCCTTCTGGGACCGTACTACGCCGTCCTTCCAGGTCTGGGAGTCAGAATGGACTCCACTAGGCTTGGCTTCGGGCTTTAGTGCCAAAGGTCTGCTGAATTCAGAAGGCTTTTTGTAATTTTGGTAAGTAGGCGCTCACCATACCAACTGTACGGTGGGAGTAAACAGACATTGGAAGATAGTAAAAATAAAACCAACCAAGAAAACAGCCACCGAGCATGTCTACATCTGAGCTGGATACCGTAAATCCTAAAACGTGCCCTAGCCATGTCATGGATGGCTGGCTTTAAAAGGAGGAGCTTAACCTGGATTAACGCTAAATCCCCCAAATTCCTAGATTCCACGGGTATTGAGTCCGCACAGCCACTAGAGAAGTACAAGGCCCGACTTTAGTTCCAGGGTGTTGAATGGCAGCAAAAATATAAGTTGGATGAACTTTTACACAAAGACGGGGAGGAGGAAAAATCGCCTTTCTCACTCTATCCTCCTCAAGATATCAACTGAAAAGCATGACATCCAATGCAACGTGTTTTAAAGGGCAGCGATCCCAGGAACTGAGCTTGTACTACTATACAGAGTTCTGACCTGAACGGAAACCCGCTGCCCTGTTAAACTATCAACTTGGGCACATGGGACCCAGATTAGATTGCTTCTCTGCCTCTGTGAACATCCACCTTCAGTGTTGGTCAAAAGTGGCTCGTCTGCGTCCCCGACCGCATTTTAAAGCTTAGTAACTCTTAAGGGATGGCATTTTGCCTACAGGGAAGGTCCAGTACATAGCCAGCGAGGTGATGGCAGCGTGTGCAAAGGACACAACCTGCCTGCCTGCCCTCGGAGTAACCTGCGCTCCAGCTCAGCTGAGTCAATTCGCAGGTCTCTCCACGTGGGATTTCCTCTGCTGAGCGCAAAGTTGTTTGCGCGGGGCCAGGCCCTGGAGCGCCCCCTCTAACTCGGGCACGCCGCTAGCTGAAGGCCCTGCGTGCCCGAGGCCGGAGGGCGCGCGCCCTGGGCGAGGTTTGGAGCTTCCCTGAACGTGCGCCAGGGCCGTGGCCGCGTGGGGCGCCGCCGCCCAGCCAGGCTGCGGCTGACAGGCCTCTCGCGCTGCGCCACGCACCGGGGGTCACGGGGAGGGTCACAGCTCCAAGGCCCTCCACCCGCGAGGAGGCTGAAGCTGAGCGCACCTGCCCTCCGAGGCGGCTCCGGCGCGGTGGCCGCGACTTCTAGATTGTTCTGTTATGGCGGAGTCTGGGTATGCACGGGGTGCGGGGTGGGTGAGACAGACGGCTGGCAGAACCGGCCTCTTAGTTCGGGGGGCGCCAGGGGCGGGGTCCGCGGGCACCTGCGCCGGCGAGACGTCCCCGGTCGCCGCGCTCCTCGGCGCCTTACCTGGGCCGTGGGGCCGGCGAGGTGGCCCGGCTCCAGCTCGGCGTCGGCGGGGCCCGGAGCGAGCGCCGTGCGGAGTCGCTCCAGGTGCTCGCGCAGCGTGACCCGCTGGTGGAAGGAGAAGGCTGGGTGCAGCGAGGCCATGGTGAACAGCAGCAGCA